CCTATGATCCACAGCCATATAACCACAGCCCTATGATCCACAGCCCCATGATCCACAGCTTTACGATCCACAGCTATGATCCACAGCCTATGATCCACAGCCCCATGATCCACAGCTCTATGATCCACAGCTCATGATCCACAGCCCATGATCTACATCCCTGATCCACAGCCCTATGATCCACAGCCCTATGATCCACAGCCCTATGATCCACAGCCCTATGATCCACAGCCTATGATCCACAGCCCTGATGATCCACAGCTCTATGATCCACAGCCCTAGATCCACAGCCCTATGATCCACAGCCCTATGATCCACAGCCCTATGATCCACAGCTCCATGATCCACAGCCCTGGGCGATCCACAGCCCTATGATCCACAGCTCTATGATCCACAGCCCTATGATCCACAGCCCTATGATCCACAGCCCTATGATCCACAGCCCTATGATCCACAGCCCCATGATCCACAGCCCCATGATCCACAGCTCTATGATCCACAGCCCCATGATCCACAGCCCCATGATCCACAGCCCTATGATCCACAGCCCCATGATCCACGCCCTATGATCCACAGCCCTATGATCCACAGCCCCATGATCCACAGCCAGCGATCCACAGCCCTATGATCCACAGCCCTATGATCCACAGCCCCATGATCCACAGCTCCCATGATCCACAGCCCTATGATCCACAGACATATAATCCACAGCCCTATGATCCACAGCTGTATGATCCACAGCTGTATGATCCATAGCTCTATGATCCATAGCTCTATGATCCTTACTTATGGTGTAAAAACTAAGGCAAGAATGTTAGAGGGTGGGAGTGGAGGTTTAAGAGCGTCGTCCCGGCCTGTGGGAGAAATACGTGCCTCCCAGTCGATAATTTGTTGGGTATGTTCGGATATATGTTGGGGACGCCATTTGCATAATAAGAGAATTATGATTAGCATTTTTCGGGCGGGAATGTCTATATTCATAGAATTTGTGAGCATTTACGGATCGTTAAGGACGGAGCCGGAGTTCAAACGGTTTAATTCTGGGTTTGTGTCAGCGAGGCCAGGCCGTCTAGGACGCGTGTTCTAAATTGCTAAAACATTCCCTTACAAAATGTGTGTAAGCGGCGGAACATATGAATCTGGGGAGAATGTCACTTTCATGGGCGGGTTTTATGCTCCAGCGAGTCTAAGAAATATGTATATGGGTGAACCTATCACTGTGGCCTGTGGAGGAGAGAAGGGGCTGTGTGGCGTCCTTTTCTAGTTTACGAAGTTTTATATATATATATATATATATATATATATATATATGGGCTTCACTTCACTTCACTTGTCCATCAATAGCTCTTCATTTTCACTACTCTCCCATATTTGTCTTCCCCACCAGACTTGCACCGTCTTGTCGACCATCACCTGGTCATTAACCAGGTGATTAACTCGACTATGTTGCGCCTCCATCTCCTCCTTCACCTTGTTTTCCGCCTCGTCCTCCTCTTCATCCTCCACTATCTTATTTTCCCTTGCGATTTCCACCACATCCTCTACTTCATCATCTACCTCATCCTCCTTTACCTCGTCTTCCACTCCCTCCTACACCCTCCTCCCCCCCTCGGTCGTCTTGAGGAAGAGAGCGGGAGAGTGAGAGCACCTCCACAAAGCAGGCCGCGCCACACACCGGAAGCTGTTACCAATCCTTTTCTAAATCAGTGGGTATTTTATGGGGCGTATCATCCCAGCCCAGCTCGTCCTAAGTGCTCCGGGTTAATATATATTAAATGCAAGGCTTTCGTGTCGTCAGAGATATGCACAGTTGAACACGACGGGAAGTTGTGAGAGGGGCGCATCTGTCCCCTCCCACTCGGGGCGCTCCAGCCCTTGCGTCCTCTCGTCCTAGAGTCGATAATCCCCGCGAGTCTCCAGTTGTTAGACCTTTACAAGCAATATTCAAAAAGTATATGATCCTTAGATGAAATAATCTTACCGTGGCCGCTGGGTTAAACATTTCCTCTCCCCTGTGTTGCTCTCGTGTTGGCTTCTGCTTTAAGACGACAGTTCACGGTGGGCGCTGGTATAAATAGCAGCTTACCTTAGCTTCACAAACAGCTCACAGTGGAGCTTGTGGGGGATTTTTAGCCTGGCGTCTTATCTTCACAGGCAGCTCACTTCAGGTGGAACAGGGTTAAGCTTTTCTCTGTGTGTGACTCGTTTGGTTGTTGTTGTTATCGACAGTAATCTTAGGTTGAGTTTTAAAGAATAGCCAAACTTAATATCTTCGTCTCACAGACAGATCAGCGTTAGTAAGGCCTAGCTAAAACATTATCTCACGCTGTTCTTGTAGTTGTGTCACCATAATCCCGTCGTATCTCCGGGTGTTGCACGACTCAGATACCTCACACCTGTGTGATTCTTAGTTTATTTTTCCAGCTTCTGCAGCATCTTACCGTGGCGATCAGTGTAAACACCTGCCAGTGTGAGGTTCTTGTCCTGGTGTCTGCTTTATCCCGGCAAGTCGCGGTGGGCGCTGGGTTAAGACATTTTCTTGCTAGTGTGTGATTTTGAGCTTAACTTCTTATCTCCCCAGGCAGTTCATATTAGCTTCTGTTGGGCTAAACTATTCTCCTGTGTGTGTGTGTGTGTGTATGTGTGTGTGTGTGTGTGTGTGTGTCATAATTCCTCTTAAAATAGTTTCACCTCTCTTACTACAAACATAATACGGATATTTTCTGCTCTTTCATCTCTGTAGTGTTACAATTCTGTTTTACTTTCAATTCCTCAGTTTTGTTTCATCATCATCATCATCTCTCTCTCTCTCTCTCTCTCTCTCTCTCTCTCTCTCTCTCTCTCTCTCTCTCTCTCTCTCTCTCTCTCTCTCTCTCAGTCTATTCATATATTTATTCTTTTCATTAGATTATTTTTTATTAATCTCATAAGAGTTTAATATTCTCTTCTTTATCCAATTTCTGTCTCCTCCACCTCTTCTTCCTCCTCTGATTTACTCTTCAATAATTCTAGCTATTGTTCGTTTCTCTACATTCCTCGATTATTCTTTATTCCTCACTTCGTATGCATTCCCGCCCTCTCCCTCCCCCCTTTTCTTTCTTTCTTCTCTTTCATAGCATCTTTTTTCCCCTCTCCCCCTCTCCCAATTCCCTCACCACCTCTCCCTCACCTGCTACTCGCATCCGCTTCTCCAGCTGTTCCAACACCTCCCTTGAGTTCCTCTCTATCTCTCACCTTGCTTATTCTCCCTCTATATCTCCCCTTTAATGTATACTTTTTTCTTTGTCTTACTGTCTCTCTCTCTCCCTCACTATCACACTCTCGCTCCCCCACTCTCATTATCTCTCTCTCTCACTATCACACTCTCGTTCCCCCCACTCTTATTATCTCTCTCCCTCACTATCACACTCTCGTTCCCCCACTCTCATTATCTCTCTCCCTCACTATCACACTCTCGCTCCCCCACTCTCATTATCTCTCTCCATCACTGTCTCTCATAATCTCTCCCCCACTCTCATCATTTATCCATCACTGTCTCATTATATCTCCCTCAGTGTATCACAATCTCTCCCCCTGACTGTCTCCCATTATCTCTCTCCATCCCTGTCTCTCATTATCTCTCCCTCACAGCGTTGACAACATCGTGCTGCTGCTCCATGAGTCAGCTTCTTATTAAGTGAAGATAATGATGCGCGAGTGTGTGTGTGAAGAGAGAGAGAGAGAGAGAGAGAGAATGAATTTGCGTGTGTATGTGTGCGCTAATATGTGTACTGGTCATTGGTCAGTATGCTCGCCTTGCAAGCGCGCAGATCCTGGTTCGATCCCCGGGCAGGGTGAAACTATGGGCAAATTTCTTTACGCCATTTGCCTTTGTCTACCCAACAGTAATTGAGACCTGGATGTTAATCGATTTGCGGATCGTATTCCGGGGTAATGGTTAGCCAGTGCAGTTGGCTAGTTGTCCGGTTTTCTCGGACTATTCCTTGACACTGGGTCATGCAGCTCGATAACTTCGGGTGTGGTTGTTGTGTTGGGGACAGCTTCTACACTTTGAATAAATTCACGCCTAGGTGGCCCTTGGGCCGGCCATCCTCGTTACACGAGGGGCAACCATTTTTATTATGTGTACATATATGTGTTAATGTGTGTGTGCGTGTGCGTGCACACAGGCACGCATATAATAATAATGGTAGCCCCTCGTGTTCTAGGGTGGCCAGCCCTAGGCGTAAATGTATTTAAGGTGTAGAAGCTGTCGCCAACGAGCCAACTACACTGGCTAACCATTATCCCGGAACACGATCCGCAAATCGATTAACATCCAGGTCTCAATTACTGTTGGGGAGACAAAGGCAAATGGCGTAAAGAAACTTGCCCATAGTTTCACCCTGCCAGGGGATCGAACCAGGATCTGCGCGCTTGCAAGGCGAGCATACTGACCAATGACCAGTACACCACAGGTCGTACACACACACACATTGTCCCCTTACTTCCCGACCCACCACACACTCAACAACTTTCTGACCCACCATACACACTCAGCAACTTCCTGACCCGCCACCACACACTCAACTTACTGATACATCACGCACTCTACTGAATCCTGTCCAGCCACCACGCACTCAACTTACTGACTCACCACCGCACTCCACTTCCTGACCCACCACGCACACAGGACGAAATCTGAGAGAGTAAAGCAATCTTTGTTTACCTTCCCGCTTGTGTTTGGCGGGAGATTGCGCGCCAAAAATAACCGTTTAATTTTTTGGCGGGAATATACGACAACGGTCCCAGATTCAAATGGAAAACAAACTCCACTATTTTAACCCGGGGAAAATCTCGCCTTGCGTCTCTGTGTGTGGTGGACTTTGGCTGCGCGCTGTTGAAATACATCGTCAAGATTTCAACGAATTCATAAATAAATTTGTATCGTCATTCATCTGATAATAGAAACAATGGGGCATGGAGATTCTTTTGTTTTTGTGAATGCTTTTGTTTATCCTCGAGGTTAATATGCAAAAGACTTTGATGATATATATAAATAAGAGCAGGTGTTTTATTACAAGCTGTCGATGGTATTTATTTATGTTATGTTAAACTGTTAGAATGAAGGTAATAATGCATGTGTTTGTTTTTGAAG